GGAAAACATGATACAGATGTGGAACTACAGATTCGACTAAGACTAAGGGTTCGACAATAAAACAATAAATTAAAAACCATTGTCAAAACTAATTAAAAAAACACAAAAAATGTAAATTGTTTTTACTAAAATACTTTTTGATTTTAATAAAATTGTTTTTATTTTGAAATGGTTTTGCAGAACTTTTATTATTCATTTTTGATTTATGAATAAATGGAAAAACATTCAACAATTAAATATTTTTTAACATAGAAACACAATCTCAATAAAACAACATGTTACAGCAAAGACCACAAACATTTATTGATTCAGTGAATCAGATTGTGGAAAGTGGACAATACATCGAAATATATTAACCACTGAAAACAAAAAACCAAAGATACTCATCAATAGACAAAAAAACCCGAGAAACATTAAACTCGAAGAAATGCACAAAAATCATTTAAAACAATCCATTAAATAGGCGAAAACCGTCTTCAAAAACATCGACATGACATTATTTAGTTTGCAAACAATAATCAAACAAATCAAATTCATCCAACAACTTTACAAAACAACTTTGGAATCAATTGGTATCTTGTTTGGATTGTCCAAGTCATCAATTTCAACTCATTTAAAACAAAAGGAACAACAACCAAATTACAAAACAAAATTCACCAAAACAATGGATACAGCAATATCTGCATTATTGAATTACTGTGAGTTAAATAAAATGAGTTTTATGTCAAAGTTTTGATGATACGTTCGACGTGACTTCAAAGGGTATTATCAAGCAGGTGAAAGCGTGTCATGGTCACGGTACTGCAATTGCAAAGACTGAGGATTTGGACAGAGTCGAAACCAATTAATTTAATCCTTTTTCAAATTACATTTTTTTCAGTTGAATTTAATGATACACATTTTTTGGTGCTTAACATCGACGAAGTGGGATTTAAAGAATGGGCGGATCATCAAAGGGTAAAAGTTTTCACAAAAGATCAAAGAGATATTAAAGTCGGTATTCAACGCAAAAAAGCACAATTGTTGCTCTCATTTCAGCCAATGGGCTATTTATCACACAAGCAATAGTTGTACCCAACGTTTATTTTGATGAATCACTTGTTGTTGAATACCCGGAGGCATCATTTTATAATACAAAAAACGGGATTTGTTAATAAAAAATATTCAAAACATGGATGTATGAAAAGGTGCTAAATTACATTATAAAAAAAGATAAAGCATGATCCAAGAGAAATTGCAGTTATAATAATGGATAACTTCTCTGAGCATTTAGACCAGACGTTGAAATCAGTTTTTAACTCCAACAACATCTACTTTCACTTTCTTGAACCACATGCAAGTCACTTCATAAAACCTTTGAGTTTGTGTTTCATTGGTTTGCTAAAAAAGTTTACCACAACATCATCAGATGTATTTCCAAGCATCATTTGTATTGTCAAAATGTTTAACCAAAGTCAAGGTCGTGATCAAAGTGCTTTTTCTACTTTAAGTTTGAGCACTGCTGTTGTTGTATCTGATACAACCGTTGAGACTGCGTTGTCTGGTTAGATAAAAGAAGTAAGCAACGCCAATTATTTGAGAACCGTAACGGCTCAACGAGGTCAGTTCATTTCAACTCAAATAAGAAAGGTATTAGATGTGATTTACAAGAAAGCAATTGAATCAAACATTGTTTTGTCTTTCACGAGAGGTGGTTTTGTTTCAGTGGCAAGTGAAGAAAAAATGCGAGTGTAAGTCAATATCCAATTAGCTTGTGTTTTCATGAAGACTACTTCAATAAATCGATCACTTAAACGAATGAGACTTTTGACTGCTCCATTTGGTGCAGAATCGTTAAGAGCAACTAAAAAATAACTATTGAGTTAGTTAATCAAATCGAACACCCGTTGAGATTTTACACTTAATGACAAACTTAATAACCCGTGTTATTTTTTTATTAAATCCATACAAAACGATCCCGATTGTTTTACCTATTATTTCAAATAAATTGGGTGCTTTTAAAATAAAGTCGAAAGCTAGGGATTCAGATATGCTGTTATTGACAAAAATCATCAAAAAACAATCTAAACACCCTATTTTCAAAAAAAAACTGTCATATAATAGAATAAACAAAAAATGGTCGAAAACTTAATCCTAGTCGAAATCATAGTACCACATCTATATTATTATACTCTAGTTATTATATAAACGTTGTTTTTTCTATTTTTTAAATGTTTATAACTGGAATGTATCGGCAATATTTTTGAAATGCCAAAAAATGTTAAAAATTTTACCGGTATTATAAATTTATATTTGAAGACCACCAAAAAGAGTTGTACACATATTTTT